TATCATAGCCTCCTTCTCGATAGAACCTTGTGTTGCCGAGAAGGAGATCCTCTATCTGACTATGGCATCAAATTCATTTCCCACTAGCTCTACTCCTCCCTGGTTTTCTGGTACAAATTACTCTGTATGCAAAAAAGAATGCGCCTTTTCCTCCAAGGAATCGACTGCGAATTGTGGGCAATTGTCCGAAATGGACCAATTGACATGAAGGAAGACGATGAGGAGGATTGGTCAGATGAACAAAAGAAAAATGCTCAACTAGACTCTAGGGCTATGCACATTTTATTGTCTGCAATTTCTGAAGATGAAGGAGAAAGAGTAAACAAATGTGAAACTCCCAAGGAAATATGGTCAATTCTTGAAACTACTCATGAAGGAACTTCAGAAGTTAAGGAAACCAGGATTGACATGTTACTAAAAGAATATGAAACTTTTGACATGCTTCCTGGAGAATCCATTTCTGAAATGGATAAAAGGTTCTCCACCTTGATCAATAGACTTAAAGGATTAGGTAAAGACTTTACAAGCAAAGAGCTAGTTAGAAAAATTCTTAGGTCTCTTCCTCTTGAATGGATGGCAAAAAGAACTGCCATCGAGGAAGCTAAAGATCTTAATGTTTTATCTCTTGAAAATCTGATTGGATCTCTACTTAGTCATGAGGAAGTTTTGAAGCAGATGAACTCTCTTCATGACAAGAAGAACAAATCCATTGCATTCAATACTATAAGTTCAGATGGTGAAGAAAGACTTGATGAGGAGTTTGAAAATGAATTCGCTTTAACTAGCAGAAAACTTCAAAGAATGATGAAGTTTAAACATGATCAAAACTTAAAAAGGGGAAATCACAGCCACAGCTACTCTTTCAGACCATCTGGGAGCATGTATAACCTCTCCCATAGAACATCTGGACACTTCTCTAGAGGATCAAATGACAAAAATTCTTTTGGATCCAACAGATCAGAGTCTTGTCCTAAACATAATAAAAATCCTAGTGATAAAACTGACTCCGCTATCTGTTTCAAATGTGGAAAAACAGGTCATATAAGGGCTAATTGCCCTATCAACAAAAAGAAAGAAAAGGCAATGACTGCCTCCTGGAGTGACTACAGCTCAGAGGAGGAATCTGAAGTAGTGGCTTACGTGGGTCTAAACTCAAAAGATGATCATCCTGAAAATAAGGTATGGACTGAATCTTCTTCTGATGGCTTCTCTGATACTCATGATGATGACTTCTTTCTCCATGCTATGTCTAACCTTCAGAATGAATTTAATTTGCTAAAAAGCAAATTATGCTTAACTGTAACTCAATTGCATGAAAAGGAAAAAGAAATCAGCTCTCTGAAAGAACTTGTCAAAGCTCAACAGACTGCCATTAACACTCAGGACACTCAAGTTGGAAATCTCACTACTGAAAACTTAAGTTTAAAAAGGGAAATCTATTACTATCAGAAGATTAGCAATAAAAATACCAGATCACTTAATTATCATAAGAGTAACAACTCTAGACCTCTCTATAGCCAAAAGAGCACTAATCACTCCTCGTGCAGAAAGTATGGGCATGTAGATGAAAGTTGTTACTTCAGAAAGAACAAACCCAAACTTATTTGGGTTGTTAAATCTTCTAACTAAGTTATTGCTTGTTTCATATCAATAAAGGAGCTAATATTTGGTACTTAGACTCCGGATGCTCCCATCACATGACTGGTAATAAAGACTTATTTACTTTTCTTAATCCTAAAAAGGGAGGTAAAGTTTTCTATGGTAATAACCACTGCGCCTCTGTTGTTGGCAAGGGTACTGTCAGTAGAAACTCTTCTCTCATAATTGAAGATGTTTTATTTGTAGATGGTTTAAAACACAATCTTCTCTCTATTAGTCAAATCTGTGGTTCAACCTATCGTGTTATTTTTTATCCATTCTGTTGCATCATAGAACGCATTTTTGATAATACATTGATCTTTAAAGGGAAGAAGATCAACAATGTTTATACTGTAGATCTATCTACCTTAGATCTATCTGAAAACATCTGCCTTAGTTCCATATCTAATTCTGCTATTAGTCGGCATAGAAAACTAGGGCATATGAGTATGTCACGCATGATTAAACTATCTAAGCTGAATTTGATTAGAGGACTGCCTCTGATCAAAGCTTCTGATAATGTCATATGTGAAGCCTGCATTTTAGGTAAGCATCACAAAAAATCGTTCAAAAGTAAACAAGATGTTACATCTAAATCAATGTTTGAGCTGTTACACATGGATCTTTTTGGACCCACCAATGTTCAAAGTCTTGGTGGAAAATCTTATGTTCTGGTAATTGTTGATGACTACTCCAGGTTTACCTGGGTGCACTTTCTTGCATCGAAGGATGAAGCATTCTTAAAGTTTAAATCTTTTATTATTCTAGTTCAAAATCAACATTCCTGTCATGTTAAATCAATTAGAAGTGATAACGGTGGGGAATTTATCAATGATGACTTTGGCAATTTCTGTGATGAGCTAGGTATTCTCCACACTCTCTCTGCACCTCGAACTCCTCAACAGAATGGTATAGTTGAGAGGAAAAATAGATCACTCATTGAAACAGCTAGAACCATGCTGTTAGAATTTGATTGCCCCAAATATCTTTGGGGAGAAGCAGTAAACACTGCTTGCTGCATTATAAATCGAACTATAATTAGCAAATCAATTAACAAAACACCTTATGAAATTCTGAAAGGAAAGACTCCCAAACTTTCCTATCTTCAACCCTTTGGTTCAAAATGCTATATATTGAACACAAAAGATTCTCTTAGGAAGTTTGATGCTAGGTCTGATGTTGGGATTTTGTTGGGATACTCATCTAAAGGGCAAGCTTATAGAGTCTTTAATTAAAAAACAAGAAAGGTTGAAGAGTCAGTTCACATTCGCTTTGACCCATCTCATCATTCTCTTCCCCTGTCTTCAGACATTAACAATTATGACTTCTTGCCTCTAAGTTCTTTCTGTGAGACAGACTGTATTGAAAACAGCAAAGAATCTAATGCGAGGAATCTAGAACAGTCAGAAACCTCTCCAGGTGAAAACTCAGCCTCTGAAGAGGATACTCTTAGTGAGAATCCAGAGGCCCCTGCCCACATCAGAAAGAGGCATCCACCTTCACAAATCATAGGTAACCTCTCTGATCCCACACCAGAGGTAAGTACATCCCAGGTCAGTATGCCTTTGTCTCCTTATTTGAACCTAAGAACTTTAAAGAAGCTATCGTAGATGAAGAATGATTGCTTGCTATGCAAGAGGAACTGTCTTACTTCATTAGACTTAATGTTTGGGAACTTGTCCCTAGACTTGATGGTGTCACTGTAATGGGCACTAAGTGAATTTTTCGAAACAAGTCAGATGAACTAGGTTTCATTATTAAAAACAAGGCTCGATTAGTGGCCCAAGGATACAATCAAGAGGAGGGCATAGACTATGATGAGACCTTTGCCCTTGTGGCTCGTCTAGAATCGATTAGGCTTTTGTGTGCTTATGCCAGTTACATGAACATAAAATTGTTTCAAATGGATGTTAAGAGTGCTTTCTTAAATGGTGAAATCAAGGAGGATGTTTATGTTGAACAACCTCCTGGGTTCACTGACAGTGAGTTTCCTAATCATGTGTTTAAACTATCCAAAGCTCTATATGGACTTAAACAAGCTCCCAGAGCTTGGTTTGAAAAACTTACCTCATTTCTAATCTCACAAGGTTTCTGTCAAGGAGGAGTTGATAAAACTCTCTTTATTAAAAGACAGAATAATCATTCCTTGATTGTCCAGGTCTATGTAGATGACATTGTCTTTGGTAGCACTGATACTAGTATGTGTGAGGAATTCTGCACTACAATGCAAAATAAATTCGAAATGAGCTTAATGGGTGAACTTAATTTCTTTCTTGGTCTGCAAATACATCAATCTAAACTGGGGATATTTATTCACCAAACTAAATATCTACAATCCATGATGTCCAAGTTTGATTTGATAAATGTTAAACCAAGCAAAACTCCCATTGCTTCCAAAACACATTTAGATTATGACGTTAATGGGCAACCTGTATGTGAAAAGAGGTATAGAGGCATGATAGGATCCTTACTTTACCTCACAGCCAGTAGACCTGACATCAAATTTAGTGTCTGTCTGTGTGCTAGGTTCCAACATCAACCTAAAGAAAGCCATCTAAAAGCTGTAAAAAGGATTTTCAGATACTTAAAAGGATCGAGTGATCTTGGCTTATGGTATCCTAGATCTGACTCATCTACCCTAGTAGGTTATTCTGATTCTGATTTTGCTGGGAGCATTACTGACAGAAAAAGTACTAGTGGTACTTGTCAGTTTTTTGGTAGATCTCTTGTGTCTTGGTCTAGCAAAAAACAAGGCACAGTTGCCTTATCCACTGCTGAAGCTGAATATGTAGCTGCAGGAAGCTGCTGTACTCAAATTATGTGATTAAAATCTCAACTAAGTGACTTCGGTATTAATGTAGAACAAATACCTATTTTCTGTGATAATACCAGTGCCATATGTATGTCAAAAACCCCTTGTTTATCACAGTAGAACAAAGCACACTGAAGTAAAACATCACTTTATCAGAGATTTGATTCAGGCAGGTCATATTGAATTGAATTTCATATCCACTGAGTTTCAAATTGCTGACATCTTTACTAAAGCTCTCTCATCTGAAAGATTTTTGAAACTGTGTGATGAACTTGGTCTTCAATCTTTTCACTCCATCCAAGAAGGTCGCTGAACCAGGTTCTGCCCTTCCTTTACTTATGCACTTACTGCTTTCTAACTTATCTTGTGCTTTTAATTCTCTATGTTCTGTTAATTTATTGCTAGTTCATGTATGTGATGTTTAGTTTATCAAGATAACTGTGTGTTCCCAATTCTCCTGAAGCAACTCTTAGAATTCTAACTAGCTATATATTCTGTGGACCTATCCTGTTGACTCACACTCACTAATCGAAACCACAGCTCTTTCATCATGACTGAGCTTTTCACCTCCTCCAACATACCTGGTGCCATTGTCACCTATGTTGGTAGAACCTTCAATGAACCTGTGGATTTCAACCTGCATCATTTCAAAGAGTTTTATGCCTCTCGTCGCTTATCTGACCCCATTTCCCTCGATCTATTTGAATTCAAATCTAAAGGGATTGATATTACTCCTTTTATCCGCAATCTGGGCTGGGAATTCCTCCTTCATTACCCTCCCCTCGCTGCTTGTCCTCTTCCTGTTCGAACATTTTATGCCAATCTGGAGTGCCAGGGCATCACCACCAAGAAGCTCACCACTCTTGTCAATGTCTACTTCATTTCCCTCACATCTAAAGCCATTGGAACCCTTGTGAACCTGCCAACTGGAGGACCACTTCCTCTTGCTCATGAAGATGAGTTTCTCTTTTATGAGTTTGATCATGTGATTGAGTATTCTAGAATCACTCAGCGTACTGTAGGACTCATGAGGTCATCACATCTGCTGACCTAAACCCCTTTCTACGCACCCTGCACTACTTTATCACCCATCTGTTCTTACCTCGAAACCATGGCCTTCACATAGTCACCAAAATTGACCTCTGGATCCTGTCCAATGCACTCACTAGTAGAAAGATTGACTACTCTCAGCTACTGTTTGGATCATTAGTTCGAAGTGCTGATGCTCATCTGGGAGGGAGACTTCCCTATGGTAGTTTCATCACTCTGCTCATCTCTAACCTCGGAATTTACCTCGATGGATACTCCACCATTGAGTCATCCGTGTCCAAATCTGTTTCCAAATCCCAGAAACTTGGAGAATCCTCCTCCTCCTTTGTATGTAAAAATCTCATCATCTCATTTGACGAAGAAGAGGCAGAACTGGCCCCTGAATCTATCTCCGAGGAAGACATCAGGCTCTTTGCTGAAGACCTTGAAAGGGATTTAATGAAAGGAGAAGCTGGGGTTCTGGAAGAGAACACGATGAAGGAATCAGGTGGAACTCAGGGGGAGATACTTGGCAATAATGAAACTCCAAATACTGAAGCATAAGGAGAAGTTAAGAGGAAAATCAGTAAAGAGTGAATGCTCCAAGAAAGTCATCCTAGAAAAATAAAAATAGCTGTCTACCTAGTACTAAGATTCACCTTAAGTCTGTTTCAAAGACCATAATGGTCTATGTTTGTCATGGTTGTGATGTGGCTCTCTGACCATAATGGTCCAGTCTCCATAATAAATGTTCTATATGACCATAATGGTCTAAATTTGTCTTGACTGCTGTGTGATATCCCATCCTGGAAACTGTCTGCTTTGTTTAGAGTCAATTTGGTGAACATTTGTCTTGATAGGCTCGGGTTATGATAGGCTCGGGTCTCTCCTCAGGAATAAAGCGACTCTTCAACTCAAAGTTATGTCCCTCCGTCTCCATGTCCGAACTGGAATCATTCCCATCAAAGACCATCTGCTCAGATTCATCCTCTGGCAGCATCTTCCTACTGACCTGCACCTTACGCGAAGGGAAAGTTTGGGGAGAAGGTGAGGACAGGAGGTCATCATCAGCCTCATCAAAACCCGACTGCCCGAGTTCCGATTCCAAACTTAGACGACTTACTTTCCTCTCATCACCAGTGTGCCTCCCGCTCCTGCCATAATCCGGGGTCTTAACTTTTCCTTGTCGGTGCACATTCTTGCGGTCACCTCCAGTATTTCTGGTAGCACCATCAGGAGCACGACCAGCTCCCTAGTATTCCAGATTCTTTGCTCCACCCCTAGGACGAACCCGCCCATGGCGATCCTAGAGCTCGAATCCAGCCTCCTTGTCACCCCTTCTCTTTCCTTGTACTTCAGGTGATCGAGGTCTGCTGTCTATCCCCTTCAATAGGCATCTTGGCCACTCGGTCCTTCTCTTCTGTCCTTCTTTGCACCCGTTGGACCTTAGGTGGTTTAGCCATGACAAAGCCACGAGGACTTATGCCCTCATTCTTCCTGTCCTCCCTGTGCTTTCCTGGGTATAATGAGTCCCTTATCTTCACTGATCTCTTAGGTGAATCACCAGCATGCTTCATAAGAGGGATAGGCACAATTACCTCCCTCTGTTTATGCGAGCCTGCATTCCTTCTGCCCGCCGCCTCTGGGTTCCGCCAGACATACCTGGAGTTCCCATAGTAAGGTCGGGTTTCTTCTTCTTCTCCGTAGAGTTTCTCCCCTAGTGATTTTGTCGACATATGCGGCCCAAAGCATTCCTTCCCTTGTAGTGGATCAAAAGTACAAGTCTGGAAACAATGCCCCACAAGACCACATTTAAAGCAGAAGCTTGGAAGGACTTCGTATTTCAAGCTCACCAGAAGCTGCCAGTTTCCTCACTCAATGCCAGGAGCTGTAAGAGAAGGGGTTTGGTAAAATCAATGATAGCTTTCACTTTAATGAAATTTTGCTTTTCTGTATGACAGGCATAAACCCTTGCTTCCAGTACTCTACCAATAGTCGACTCAATCATTTTCCTCCCAAATTGGGGTGTGCAGCAATCATCATTTACATCCCAGAGCTGGATGTCGAAAGGGGAAGTTGCCATGTCATCAAAAGTGCGATGGGTCACACTCGGAATCCAACTCCTCAGGTGAAGGATCTTATCCTTGATGATCCAAGGAGTCCGCTGTAGTACCCAATTTTTGCAAGCTTCACTGGGAAGGATAAGCACCAAAAAACCATGTCTCCGCTCCATGACGCGGATTAGCCCCTGACCTTGCCATGCCACATTAATGCCTTCCCGAATAGCAGTCAATGATGGGAGCTTTTCTCCAAACATTCTCCCAAGGAGACTGTGAGAGGCGTGGAACTGAGCTGATTGGACCTCTTCAAGTTTGAATTGAACAATCTGATATGTCATTAAATACCAAGATCAATAAATAAAACGATCGAATTGATTGCAAAGTTGATAACGATGTAATTGCACATGTTTGCGCCCCTAGTTCTTATCCGTTTGAGGGGCATAGTCGTGTGTTTTGGCCTATTTTACGCCGGTTTGTGCTATTTTATCATATTTCAGGTCCCAGGCGTCGAAGGGAAGGCTAAGCACGAGTTTCGGGGCATTCGGAGGTCATTTCGTCAAGCTGGAGCCAAAACACGGGCACACCTAAGGCATTACACGGCCGTGTTCCTGTGGCCGTGCTTTTTATGCCGAGAGCTGAGCTGATTACACGGGCAGGGCCGAGACAAAGCACGGCCGTGTCCAACGCGAAGCACGGCCGTGTCCAACGCGAAGCACGGCCGTGTTTCTTCCCAACTGCTGGCCGTGTAATTAAGCCTGGCCGAGACACGGGCGGACTCAGGCAAAGCACGGCCGTGTCCTCGACCGTGCTTTGGCCACTTATGCTTTTAAGCAGATTTTCAGCCACAATTCAAGGGGATTCGAGTTTTAGAGAGAGAGATCAGTTCCTAGAGAGAGAAAGCGACGAACAAGAGTCTCCAAGCGCCCTAGCTTGATCTTCAACACCATTGGAGGCTTGTTTGAGCTTGGAGAAGTGTCGATCAACGTCCAGAAGCAGGAATCCATCCTTCGCAGTATGAATTCCGCATCTGATTCTGCTTTTGTTTCTTTCTCCATGGAGTAGTTCTCCCATTCATCTGGGTATGGAGAACCCTAGATTTGTATGTTAGGTTTGATTGTATGAACCCAAGTACTGATTCTATGATTGATTATATTCGATTGAGGTTTGAATGATTGAATGACTTGAATCCTGATCAAATTCCTGTTGTTTCTGCTTTAACCTAGAATGAGAATATCTGACTAGGTTAATAGAGTATCCTTGATTGAAGGTAGAGAGTTGGTGACTTTAGTCGAGGAGCCAACTCACTATTCTGTACTGGATTTACTCCGGTAGTGGAGGTTTTGTTTGTTAAGGCCTCAATCTGTTTACTCCGGTGGAGGTTAGTCGCCCGCTAGAGACTCAGATTGAGAGTGTCTGAAGACCTTTAGTCGAGACTTTAGGCTGTTTAAGAACCTTCTGCAGTATAACTACCATAGAAACTGAACTTGGTAATTACAATCCGGCTTAACTGCAGTCTAGGGGGAACCATATCCTGGTGACCTCTCTTAACTTGAATACAACCGTTTGTTTGCTTTGTTTGTTTGATAGTTTAGACTTGCATTCCAGTTTCATTGCTAGATAACAAGAATTCACTGAGTAGTCATCAAATCTAGGACCCGGGTTGATAATTAAACCCAAACCCGCTATACTACGCTTTAGGGAGTGGTTACACTTGGCCAATTCCTGGAGTGACAGTAGAAGTGAGTCAAGTTTTAGGCGCCGTTGCCGAGGACGGCTAGGTTGTTGAAGAAAAGTGATTTCTGTTAATTTAGCTTTTCTTTTTGCTTTGTTTGCTTTGTCCCACTTGTGCCTTCATGGGTTTGCTAGCTTGAGTGTGTGCAGGTAGTGCATGACCCGTAGCCAGTCAGGAGGTTTACTGCCGTTGAATCCAGAGATTGACCGCACCTGTCGCCAGCTCAGGAGACAACAACGAGCTAGACTGGCTACGGAAGAGCGCATAGACGGCCACCTGAGTAGCGATTCTGAAGAAGAGTACGGGATGGACGGAGACTACAATCAGCACCAGGGGAATCCGCAGCAGGTTCCCCCGGTGAATCAGGTCCTGGGGAACAACCCCATACCCCAGGATCATGGAGTTCATCATCCACCGCAGCCGGGTCCCAACTTGGAGTACTACTACACTCCGCGGATTGCTGACATCCGCCCGGTCATCCTCTACCCGCCTATCCCAGCAAACAACTTCGAGATCAAGCCATGCTGGATTCAGCTCATTACATCTTCCATCCAGTTCCATGGCTTGAAGGATGAGGAGGCCAGGGTACATCTCTCCCGTTTTCTGCAGCTGACGAACGGGTTCAAGCTGAATGGTGTCCCGGATGATGCCATCCGCCTTCATCTTTTCCCCCATTCTCTGGCAGGGAATGCTAAGAGGTGGTTGGAGACCCAGCCCCCATTGTCCATCACCTCTTGGGACGATCTGGCTGACAAATTCGTGCACAGGTACTATCCGGCATCGAAGACTACAGAGATTCAGCGGGAGATCACTCACTTCCGCCAGGAGCCAGATGAATCACTTCGTGATGCATGGGAGCAGTACATGGGATATTTCTGGCAGTGTCCCCACCATGGCTTTAGTGATGCATTCACAGTGGGGAATTTCTACAGTGCTCTCTCTCCAGACAGCCAGAGGGTGATTGAGTCTCTATGCCCAGGAGGGGATGTTCTCACTAAGACTCCACCCGAGCTGAACCAGATGATTAATACATTGGCTGCCAGAGATCATTCCTGGGGGCGGAGCAGCAGAGGCAGACATTCCAGGGACCGTGGTGTGCACGCCATGGAGTCCAGATCCGGACTCGAGCAGCAGGTAGCTGAGCTAGTGCAGACATTGAAGCAGCCCAACAGTCTTATTCCGGGCAGAGGTATGGCTACACCTCTAGTTGCTCAGTGTTAGTGGTGTGAGAGC